CTATAGATAGCTATAGGTTAATATGACTTAAGGATTAGAATGCTAAGGCTCTTAGTTTTTTGTATCAGATCTAAAGCTTTCCCATTTTGTAATGAATCCATTCATGTTTTTAAACATCCTCTTTCTTTTCCTCTCCAGTTCTATTTTGTTGTTTTCTTTACTTCTTAAGCTGACATGCTGGTTTCTTAGTCCATCTTAGGTCACAGAAACTTTTGAGGAAACACTGCATCTATGGGTCATGTCTCCCAAAATAAATAAACACAAGAATACTTTCAGTTATACATATTATACATATTAAAATTCTATGATTTTATATATATATGTATATATCAGAGATTTGTAATTATAATTTCATTATAGTAACTTTTATTACTTTAATGTTTTTTCTCATTTAGATGCTTTTTGAATCGTTTAAATATGTTCTCATATTTCTGCCTCACCGTTTTTTGTTTTTTTTCGGTAGCACTTGCCTAATACGTATTTCTTCATCTTTTACATATTCCCTTTTTGATCCATATTAGTATCATAGAATTGTCTTCTGGTATTTTTCAGAACTGTACATTTTCAGAATATTATTTTACTGCTTGCTTATATTTCATTTTGGAGAGGGTGTATCAAAATCAGTATAAATTTTCCCTTTGGAGATAGGTGAATTTATTTTAACTGCCCAGAATATCAATGGGATATTTTCCTTCAAAAATTGTTTTTCAAATTCAAAGTGTAAACCAGGCAGTATCTTGGTCCATGATAAGTCATCTTCATCTGCATGTTGGGTTTTTTTTATTTTAATCCAAAAGAAAACAATTATTGTATTTGACTTAGAACATGGCTTGTATTCCATTTGCTCTGATCTCCCTGTCAGGAAGAGGCACTTGTGTGTCTCTGTTGGCTGTCTTCCATAAACATCATCCTTNGGCTGTCTTCCATAAACATCATCCTTGCCCCAAACAAAGTCCTCTTTTCATCTGGTTCCTTTGCATAATTGGAGATAAGTCTCGCTCTTGATCTCCATATAAAGTGATTCCCTTGGCTACAGTGTTCTGACCTTTCCCTTCTAATTCTCCTGACATCCCTTTCCAGGATCCCCACTCCTGCCCCATCTTGACACGTGGACTTAGTTGCTGTCACCTGAGCATACTCCATTTGGTATGGTTGCACTTGCCCTGGGATATCATGGAGAAATTGCTTCAGAAGTCAAGTAATTCTGTCTTTCTAACAGAATGATCAAACGTTAGCCTTCACCACTTCAAATTAAGTGGGTCTACCAGGAGTTCCATTCCTTGTTTTCTGTACAACTTTCTTAGAAAGAGACTTGTGACCTGAACCTTAGATTTGCCTATCAGTTCCATTAGTCTAGTTCTATCTGTACTGATACCTTGGAGTCTATACCCTAGGAACAAACAGTCTTTTTCACTCTGTACCTGTGGGGTATAGGTTTCTCTCTATGTAAATTCCTTTGATCATTTTTGGAAGTCTGAGTAAGAAAGCAAAGCAAAAAAGCATAATTATATTCTGGAGCTCAAAATTCCTTTTTCCTAAAGGACTTCACATTCTTATTCTTTTTTTTCCAGCTTACTACTTTTATGGCATTCCTATTTTGGTTTTACTCTAAGAGGTATATTTTATCATCTGTATTTCAGACGAAGTTGTTAAAGGTCAAGTCTTTATATAGTGCAAAGGTCTTAAGTCCAAGCTATTATTTTATCTACTTTTATTCCCATAAAAGAGGGAAGGTTATCCACAAATACTAAATAGAAAGCAGATTCACCTCAGAAAGCATATAAAGCATCTTATTCATAATTATAATCTTTAGGAAACCAACTTGAACATATGTAAATATGCATAATATATAATATACATTATATATGCATAATAATTTATGTATAAAATATCCATAATAATTTAAGTAATCTATTTTTCCAGGAATATCATTATTATTTATATTTATCATGAAGAGAAATAACATCCAATAGAAATAAATCCCTATACTCTATCAGGACATTATTTTTAATGATGGAAAACTGGAACAGCAAATATCCAATGTTAGAGGTATGGCTATATAAATGAGGCTAATCTCATGAGGTATAACCTTACACATACCGATAGCCATATACAATTTTTAAGCAAGTAAACTGTATATAGAAACATGAAAAAGTACTTATGATAAATGTTCAATGGAAAAACAGTATAAAAATTCTACAATACCATGACTATGACTACACCAAGTACATGGTCTTAAAAAGGCTGCAGTAAATACAGATATTACAACCATTTGTGTTAGGTTGTTAGGACCATAGGTATTTATTCTCTTGTCTCTATCATTTCTGTCATTTCTATCATGTCCGATTATTTTAAAATTCCAAGGATAAATTTAAAGATGTTAAATGTTTCCACACAAAGAGTTATGAAGGTGTGAAAACTTCTTGCAAACGTCCTTGAGACAGGTAAGACTCATATAACATGATAATCAAACTCTAAAAAAATGTTGCTACCATTTTTGAAGAGCCATTCATAATTTCTTTAAACTCAGGGTCCTAGTTTCCAAACCAAAACTAGAAAATAGGATGCTCAGTCTATCCACTTGATTACAGATTTGTCTTTTCTGACAGATTCTTAGGGTCTGGGTTTTATCTCTTTCTTCACTGAATCCCCAGGTCCTGGCCTGGTGCCTAGCTTACAATTAAGATATAATACTGTGGGTACATGTGATTTTTTTTTCTTCACAAAATCTAAATCCACATGTGACTCTTTTCCCCTCAAATAAATTTACATAGCCATGAAGATTCTGAAATTATTTCAGCATCATTGATAGATGATAAAATAAATACGTCCATGCGTGCCCAGGTATGCGTGCACATGCACACATCACAATGTATGCTGCAAAGAAAAGAGAAGCAAATGGAACACATTTCAAAGAAATGTCACTCCCACATAAGAAGAAAATGCTATGCAAACCTTCAGTCCTCTAAACTGCAAGCGACTGATACTATTTTGAGTACGTTTTTTTCTTTTAAAAGTAGAACATTTTCCTCTGTTGAATATCTTTCAAATCATATCCAAAGTTATAATAACTACATTACGACCAGCTCACAAGACATGACATCTTCAACTTCTATAGAGCTTCTAGTATCGTCTTTATCAATGACAGAATATCTATTTTTGCCAAGATGTCAAGTATGCTAGGAACACATAAGAGGGTCCAATGAGTCTGTCTGTTCATTTAAAAAAATTTCCCCCAAATCTGATTTTTAATTCACTCTGCTTGGTTTTAGCAATTGCTGGCTCAAAATACACTACAGAAGAATGAAAAATTCAACATAGAAAGGTCCACAGAATGAAAACCAACCAGTTAGAAAATGAATTTTTGTTGTTGTAGACGTTTGAGAAGCCACCATTTTTATTTAGAACTATTGAAACAATCTTTAAATATAGAAAAAAACCACTCCAGCTGTATGTCTGCTTCAGAGATAACTGTCATAGTCCACCCTTTCCCCTTCTACTTGATTTCAAATCAAACCACAGTTGTAACTATGAAAATCTAAATCATAAATTTAAAAAGTAGCCACCTATTCATTTCTGATCCCTATTAAAGGTCTTCTCCTCCAACCTTGGCCTTCTTATACACAACAGTCACTGGTCCCCACCTCCTACCTCACCACCAGAGTAACCCAGGCCTACCACACAGAGACAAGATGAAGACTGCGACCTTCAAAGGCCTGGACCTGTGTATTAATACACATCCTTAATAATATGTTCCCCGAAACATATGCCTGAAATTGGAAGAGTTATCCTATGGCATCTCAAGAATATATCAGGATTTGAGTTCAGAGTCATCAACCACCCTGAAAGAGGAAAATTCGAATCAGAAGGGGAACCCATTGCTCAGGGTTCTGGGCCCACTTAGAGTTTCCAGCCTGGAGATGCACACGTCTCTTAAGGGCTCAATGACAAAACGGTGTTGCTTTGCCAGAACACTGTTTTTGCATGCTGTGTAGCCACCCTCATGATAGCTGCTCAGCCAGGCCAATTAATAACAGGAGGGATATGAAGCCCAGAGCCATTCGCAGAAGCACGGAGGTGGGGTGGGTAAGGCCCCCGGCCCCTTCTGAAACCTGCTGGAGCAGATCAGCTCCCCCACACCACGCGTTCGCCCAGAGGTGCGGAGAGACCCCTGCGCCCACCACATCCCCAGCCACCTGGCCCCTAATGCCTGGTTGGGCCGGCCGAGATCTGGCGGCCCCCGGCTTCCAGCGCCCACCCGCGCGCTTCCCAGGCCCGGGAAGGCGCATCCCGTTGAAAGAGCAGGGAGGCGCAGCGCGGCCGCCGGCGCCCACTTCTCGCCTGTGATGGGGTCGCCCCTTGCGTCCCGGTGTCCGGTCCTCGACCCCCGCCCCCGCCCCCGCCCTCCTGGGCCCAGTCCCGGCGAGGGGGACTGGCGCGCACCCGGGCCTTGGGCGGCCGTGACCAACCTGTAACCCTAGTGCTCAGAGCGGTCATGGTGCCTCGGGTGCAGCTGCGGCGGCGGCGGCGGCGGCAGAGGGCAGGGCGCGGTGCCCACCACGCGGGGACGCGGCCCCTCACCTCCCGCGGCTCCGTCGGCGCGCGCCACCCAGCCGGTGCCGCGGCTCAGCGCTCCGCGTGCTGGCGCGCGCTGCTGCCACCCGGGCGGCGGGGCCTGAGATCGAGGGGAGTAGAGGGGCGAGGGCTCTTTTTCTTTTAGCCTTTTTTTTTTTTTTTTAATCAGAGTTAGCTTAGCCGCAGGGTCTGCCTTGGGCTAAAGGGAGGAAATTGCAGAGGAGGCTGCGCTGCAGCTGGTGGGGAGCAGCAGGATGCGTGCTAGCAGGTTCTTTCTCTCTGGCTGCCACCGGCAGTCTCACAGCAACAGCTGGGTTCTCCTCTGCCAGCTCCTCTGTGGTCTCTGTCGTGCTCACGGAGCTGTATGCACTAGAGACGGGCACACGCAAGGCCGCCTCATAGAGGTGAGCAAGGCCCGTGTGTGTGTGTGTGTGTGTGTGTGTGTGTGTGTGTGTGTGTGTGTGTGTG